GCTGAGCAGGGAGCCCGATGCGGGACTCGATCCCGGGACTCCAGGATCATGACCTGAGCCGAAGGCAGTCGCTTAACCAACTGAGACACCCAGGCGCCCTCAGAAATTTTTTATAAGATAAAAGCTTGCACTTTTCAAACTTACGGCTTCACTCAATTTTCCACAATAGAAGTTGTAGAATTTTGAGTGAATGTGATCCTTTATCATTTAAATTGGAATAAAATTGATATACCATATAATAAACAATGTCAAGATGTTTGTAGTAACTAGTCTAATATTTTCAGTACAATTAGGAGGTAAGAAAATGATTTTATTTGGCTCAGTCCTTAAGCGTCTGCCTTCGGCTCAAGTCATGATCCCAGGGTCCTGGGACGGAGCCCCGCATCTGGCTCCCTGCTCAGCGGGAAGCCTGCTTCTCCCTCTCCCACTCCCCCTGCTTCTGTTGCCTCTCTTGTTGTGTCTCTCTCTGTCAAATAAATAAAATCTTTAAAAAATAAAATAAAATAGTCAGCATGAAGATGCTTGGAAAGATATATTTTTGTCTATAGTGAAAAATATTGTATTTTAACTCTGTGTTTCTTAATTGGAGGGGTGGTGGATTTTTTCCTCCAGAAGACATTTTGGCAATATCTGGAGACATTTTTGGTTGTCATGAATTGGGGAGGGGTGCTACTGACATCTACTGAGTAGAGGCCAGAGATGTTGGTAAACATCCTGCAAACTTTAGAAACATCATTTAGGCCTTCATCTGGTAACTTTTTTTCTCCTTGTATTTGGGTTAATGGAAGTAACTCACAAAAGGAAGCATAAGAGATATAAGGGAATCAAATGTGTGCACCTGTGTGTATGTGTAAAATCAATCATAAGATGTTAACATCTTTTGTTCCATATTCTGAAACTATTATTAAACTCATTTATCTTTTCATTAAGATGGCTAATGAGAAAGAATAATTGCCTCGTTGCTGGAGCACTGGGTGCATATGGGCTGCCAATCCAACAGCCCATGGTTAGTACGTATAGGCACATTTATTTTTTTTAAAGGTTTTATTTATCTGTTTGACAGAGAGAGAGCACAAACAGGGCAGAGAGAGAGGGAGAAGCAGGCTCTCCACCAAGCAGGGAACCAGACTTGGGGCTTGATCCCAGAACTCTGGGATCATGACCTGAGCCGAAGGCAGCCTCTCAATCAACTGAGCCACCCAGGCGTTCCAGTACAGGAACATTTAAAACTCACTGTCACTGCATGATGTTTCAGCCTTCCATTGCCTTTGCTCTCCTTATCATTAACATTGAAGCCATTCCCACTTGAAATCTTCTCAGCACCCCAGGGCCTATGTCAGGGAATCCAAACCCTTTGGCCTCTAAGATCTGAATCCAACTTGGTTTTTCAGATGCTTCTACACCGATGTCCCCCCAATCCCCCTCTGACCTGCTAGTCCCCGCAAGTGGGCCTCATTCCACCTCTGTCCTTTGTGTGTGTTTCTTTTCACACTGCTTTCTTAAGTTCAATACAGTGAATTTTCATTTTTTACCTTTAAACGTCTTAGCCATTGTTCCAGGTCTATCTCAATTATCATCTCCTTTGAGAAACCTTTGTTTTGGGACGCCTGGGTGCCTCAGTCGGTTAAGCATCTGCCTTCTGCTCAGGTCGTGATCCCAGGGTCCTGGGACTGGGATCAAGTCCCGCATCGGGCTCCTTGCTCAGCAGGGAGCCTGCTGCTCCCCCTGCTTGTGCTCTCTGACAAATAAATAAAATCTTTAAAAAAGAGAAAGAGAGAAATCTTTCGTTTTGTTTTTGTTATAGGTTTTTATTTATTATTACTTGTTTTACACTTGTCCAATCCACTAACTTTTTATTCTCTCCTTCTCCTGGGCTCCCATAGCATTTTGTTCACATTTGTACATGCATCTGTTGCCAACATGATTTACTTTTGTGTCCTACAAATTTTAAGTTTCTGGAGAGCAAGGGCTATATTTGGTTTAATTTTGCAGTTCTCATGGCCCATGAGTATTTGATAAGAGAACTGAATTTACTTATTTGAATCATAAACTGCAATTTGAAGAAGCTCAAGAATGCAGATATAAAAAATCATGAGATACAATGCAATTTTTTTTTGCATTCCTAGTCAGAGAAAAGCAACTTCTAGTATCTGCTAAAAAAGGAACACTGGGCTTTGGAATATTTTTGTCTCCACTTCCATACCTCTGCGCTTTTAAGATGAAAAGTAATCTGAAGCTACAGTATTTGGAAGGCTCATCAAATTTTGTAGGTTAATCAACAGCCATAACCATTACAAACTTAGTCTTTTTATTCACAGGGTAACATTTTTCTAGTTCAGAGAAAGTTAATCACTACTGCATAGAAATAAAGATTAATTTAGACAAGCTGAGCGAGTGTAATTCTGCCAACTTTATATTCTTAAATTAAGAACTTAAAGGACAGGGCGCCTGGGTGGCTCAGTCAGTTAAGCGACTGCCTTCGGCTCAGGTCATGATCCTGGAGTCCCAGGATCGAGTCCC